TGAAAAAATGCTCAACATCACTCCTCATTCGGGAAATACAAATCAAAACCACAATGAGATACCACTTCACACCTGTTAGAATGGGTAAAATTAACTCAGGCAACAAGGATGTTGGCAAGGATGTGGAGAAAGAGGAACCGTTTTGCACTGTTGGTGGGAATGCAAACTGGTGGAGCCACTCTGGAAAACAGTATGGAGGTCCCTCAAAAAATTAAAAATACAGGGGCACCTGGGTGGCGCAGTCGGTTAAGTGTCCAACTTCAGCCAGGTCACGATCTCGCGGTCTGTGAGTTCGAGCCCCACGTCGGGCTCTGGGCTGACGGCTCAGAGCCTGGAGCCTGTTTCCGATTCTCTGTCTCCCTCTCTCTCTGCCCTTCCCCCGTTCATGCTCTGTCTCTCTCTGTCCCAAAAATAAATAAACGTTGAAAAAAAATTAAAAAAAAAATTAAAAATACAACTACCCTATGACCCAGCAATTGTACTACTAGGTAATTATCCAAAGGATACAGGAATGCTGATTCAAAGGGGCACATGCACCCCAATGTTTATAGCAGCACTATCAACAATAGCCTAAGTATGGAAAGAGCCCAAATGTCCATCAATAGATGAATGGATAAAGAAGATATTACTCGGATAATATATATGGAATGGAATATTACTTGGCAATCAAAAAGAATGAAACCTTGCCATTTGCAACAACGTGGACAGAACTAGAGTGCAGTACATTAAAGGAAACAAGTCAGAGAAAGTCAAATACGAGATGATTTCACTCAAATATGGAATTTAAGATACAAAACAGATGAACATAGGGAAGGGAAGCAAAAATAAAACAAGGAGGGAGACAAACCATAAGAGACTCTTAAATACATATAACAAACTGAGGGCTGCTGGTGGGGTTTTGAGTGGGCAGATGGGCTAAAGGCCAAGGGGCATTAAGGAGGAGACTTGGGATAAGCACTGGGTGTTATATGTAAGTGATGAATCACTAAATTCTATTCCTGAAATTAAAATAAAGAAATAAAAACAAAAAATAAAAAATAAAGAAGGTAGTTAAGTACTATGAAGATAAATAACAGGGAAGGGGGATAGAAAGTGCTGGAGGGGTGCAATTTTAAGTAGGGTTGTCAGAAAGACCTCACTAAAAGAAGAAAAGTTGACCAAAGATGTAAGATTATGGGACTGATGGAGCAAGCTATAGCTGAGGGAAGAGCTTTCTAGGCAGAGAAAGCAACAAGTATGAAGACCTTGAGGGACTGGTACACCTTCAGTGTTGAAGGAAAAATAAAAAGGCCAATGTTGCTGGAGCAGGGTGAACAAGGTGAGTAGCAGGAAATGAGGTCAAAGCAGTAAGCGGGGAGAGGAGGGCAGATCCTGGAGGGTCTCACTTGCCCTTAAAGGACTCTAGTTTTTACTCCAATATAGGAAGACACAGAGGGTTTTGAGCAAAAGAGTCACATAACCTGGCTTCTATGTTAACACTATTCAGTCTGGCTGCTGTGTTAAAAATGGACTGTAAGTGGGCAGTTGTGGAAGCAGATACACCAGCTACTGCAGAAGTCTTGGAGATAGAGAATTCTGGCTTGCTCTAGTGTGGAAGCAGTGGAAGTAAGAAGAAACAGGATTCTGGATATATTCTGAAGTTAAAGTCTATGTGATTTGATGAACCAGAGATGAAAAAGAGGTGTCAGGTAACATCAGGGTGCTTTGACATGGACAATTATTAGGACGGGGTTGTCATTCACTGAAATAGGGAAGACGGCAGCGGTTAAAGGGGAGCAAAAAAGTCCAGCGTTTTGTATGTTAAATTTGAGATATCTATTAGGTATCCAAGTTGAAATGCCAATTGGCAGCTAGATATTCAGAACAGACTTCCAGTTTGGAACTAAAAACTGGGAGTCATCCACACTGAAATGGTTTTAATGTGTAAGACTGGATGAGCTCACCGCAAGTGTGTGTGTAAATAAATACAGAAGCAGTCCAAGGACTGGATTCTAGAGTTACTAGGTTGTAGAAATGAGGAGAAACCAGCAAAGGAAACAAAGGGCAGTCAGTAAACTAGAAGGCAAACCAGAGAACATGTCCTAAAGCCAAGTAAAGAAGGGCTTTCAAAGAGGGAGTGTCAAATGTTGCTATGCGGGATGAAGGTGAATACGCCATTAGCTATGTGAAGTCATTGGTGACCTTGATAATAACAGTCTTGCTGGAGTGAACTTAACAAGGAATTGATTGGGAGGGAGTAGAAACAACTCTTTTAAGATGTTTTGCTATAAAACGGAACAGAAAAACGGGAAGCAACTAAAAGGTGAAATGGGGTCAAGAGGCGTTCATGTATTTGCAAGATGAGGAAAATGACAGCATATTTGGGTGCGGAGAGGAAGATCTAGGAAAGAAAGGCAAATATTGACTCTAAAAAAATGAGAGAGGCGACTGGGTGGCTCAGTCAGTTGGGCCTCCAACTGTGGCCCTGGTCATGATCTCACAGTCAGTGGGTTTGAGCCCCACATAGGGCTCTGTGCTGACAGTTCAGAGCCTGGAGCCAGCTTTGGATTCTGTGTCTCCCTCTCTCTCTGCCCCTCCTTGCTCGTGCTCTGTCTCTCTCTCAAAAATAAACAAATATTAAAAAAATTTAAATAAATAAATAAAAATGAGAGGGAACTGCTGAGAGATGTCCTGAAAGGTTAGAGGATGGAATCTACCATTTAAGTAGTTGGACAGGAGCATGGATAGTTTGTTCATAGCAGTTTCTCAACCTTGAAACCAATGACATTTTAGCCTAGACAATTCTTTGTGTGGGGAGCTGTTCTGTGCACTGCAGGATATTTTGCAGCATCCCTGGTTTCTACCCAGTAGTCCTGCGTTCCAGTTGTGACAACCAAACCTCTGGGGAGCAAATTCAATCCCAGCTGAGTATACAGTAACAGTTATTAACAGTATACTGGTATATACTAGCAGGAGAGAAAGCGGAGTACATGGGTATAAATACTGGAAGGTGATTAGATGTAGTGGTGGGAGCTTGTGAACATTTTCTAATTGCTTTTTTTTCTAATTTTTTTAATGTTTACTTATTTTTGAGAGAGAGAGCAAGACAGCACGAGCAGGGAAGGCGCAGAGAGAGACAGAGACACAGAATCCAAAGCAGATTCCAGGCTCTGAGCTGTCAGCACAGACAGAGCCTGACGTGGGCTTGAACTCACAAACCGTGAGATCATGACCCGAGTCAAAGTCGGATGCTCAACCGACTGAGCTACCCAGGCACCCATACATTTTCTGATTGCTTCTATTTTCTCACTAACATAGCAGCCAACATAAGAGTGAGAATGGGGGGGGGGGGGGAAGATATGGGAGATTTGAGGTGTCAGCAGGCATAATAAAACAGTTACCAGAAACAAGGCAATCGAAAGGACTAGGGAACATAAAGGACCCACTTGAGTGTCAGGGTTGAATTTAAAGTAAGACAGGTCAACCTGGCTGTTTTTTGCTGGCCCGTTTAGCTGCATGGGTCTAGAAATCAAGTAGGTGAAGAGTTGAGGCTGATGAAAGCCAGAGAGGTGAGGGAGGCGAGGTGTTTGCAGTGAAGTGCTCATGACTGGAGTTTAGCTGGAGGGAAATGAATACTTGTAGGGGATGAGGTCAGTGGAAAGGAAGAGCAACAGATTGTAGGGCCTGATGAAGAGATGAATTGTTGGATTCAGTGCACTAAAGGGAATGAGCTACAAAAATAGGAGGGATGTCTCAGAATGAAATATGGAGGAGCTGTAGGCCTCCACTAGGACCAAGGGAATGAGTGGCTGAAGTGGGGGTGGAGGACACGATCACGGGAAGAGCACAGAGCTGAGGCCAGAGCATTAGAATGATCACCTACATGGGTACTAAAATCATCAGGATTTGACAGGAGTGGTTGCGGCACGGTATAGTTAACAGATGACATGTGTTTCAAAGCTCAGATGTGTTAGGGATGAGAGGGAATAGATCGAACATAGTATGAGGAGAAAAGAGGTCACCCACACCACCCTCTCCAGGGCCAATGGATGTGGGTGAGAAAATACCATCATTAGACACAGTAGGAGAAGCAGAGTTCTCAGGGGGAAACCAGGGTCCTGAACAGGAACGTAAAGAGAACACTCAGAAAACAGGATGAGGATATAGGTAATTTTACTACTAATCAGTTTAGTTCCAGAGAGCACAAAAGAATTTCATGAGGAACAAATAAATAAGGGGTGGAGAGTAACAGTTATTAGAGTGCAAAGCTGAGAGGAGACTTGCTGGTTTGGGTCTCCTCGTGGTGCTGGACAAACAAGATAAAGGGCAGGATGTTAGTTCCAGAGGGCTGTGGTAGGGAGGGAGGTGGATCTGGGGCAACCCTTCAAATCCACCAGGGGAAGTATATGTAGGAGCATGTGGGAGTAAGTGCAAGGAGGAGGGACAGCTTTGCTCTTGAGTTACAAATTCATACAAAATTAGACCTGGCCCCAGGCTATTCTGAGACAAGTCCTGAGTACCTACTCCAAAGAATTTAAATGGGGTGACGAACACAAAGCACTCAGCATAGAGCCTAACACTGAAATAGTATTAGTTATGACAATGCTGTTATTCTTCTTTTTTTTTTTTTTAACGTTTATTTATTTTTGAGACAGAGAGAGACAGAGCATGAACGGGGGAGGGGCAGAGAGAGAGGGAGACACAGAATCTGAAACAGGCTCCAGGCTCTGAGCCATCAGCCCAGAGCCTGACGCGGGGCTCGAACTCACGGACCGCGAGATCGTGACCTGGCTGAAGTCGGACGCTTAACCGACTGCGCCACCCAGGCGCCCCGACAATGCTGTTATTAAGGAGATGTCAGAAGAGGAGCTGTGATATCCCTCAATCTCAGCTCCACAGCAGCAGCCCTGCAGTCAGCCAAGGCACTGCTCTGACCCCTGCCTCCTTATCCATTCACCCCATCAACAAGAATTTATCCAGTGCCAACTCTGTATTGTTCCTGATTAACACAAGCCAATTACCAACATACAAAACCAACAATATTTTATTGCTGAATCAACTTGAGGTTCAAATTATGAGAGACAGGAGTCCATAGCCTCACCAGGGTGCCCAGATCAGACAGAGATTAAGGTCCAAGTTCCTGTAGGCTCTACTTAGGGCACTATCTACTCTGATCATGTTAAAGTTGTTAGTCCCTCCAGGTCACTTCTACTTCATCTGTCCGATACCTGTGAAAAAACAGGAAAAACTTGATGGATAGCTATCCCTTAGAATCTTCCATTCTTCCCTGCCTTCATGATCCTGGACCCTCTTCCCTGCTGATTTTTGCCTACTTTCCATATAATCCTATCTACCCTCCAAGAGGTACACACCTCTGTGTGATTCCAGAATCACTGAGGGGGGTCCTATGCCCGGCCCGAAACATCTCCCAACCAGCCTGGGCTATCATGGCTCCATTGTCAATGCAGAATCTGGGAAGGAAAAGATATATGAAATTTGGAATCTAAAGGTGAAAAATCACAGTAATTAAAGAAAAAAAGAAATCAAGAAAGAGAAAAGGCCTTTACCTCTCATCTGTGGCAAAAAGCCGGGCTCCACGTTCCTGGCACATTGTCTCCATCATTTCCTGTAGCCTCAAATTACCTATGAAGGGGTAGGGGGTAGGGCTGGCTTAGTTTCAGCCATTTCTGCATGGTCCAGCTGTGCACCTCATGTGTATTTACTTACAAAAATGAAGTAGGGGTTTAGGGGGCAGGCATTGGGAAGCGGAAACTAGCAATTTCCCCAAACTCTTAGGGATTAAGACTATCAGGAGGAAGATGTAAATGCCCAAGAACAGCAAAGAGGGGCACAGTTCAATGATACATACACCCCACACCTCCCACGATGAGGGCCTCCTGGGAGCCACAATGTGCCATGGCTCGCTCTGTGATCTCCACCAGCATTGCAAACACGGTTTCCTGTGGGGGACAAATAAGGTGTCAACACCAGAGGGGATCCCAGCTTAGTTCTGCTGTACTATATAAAAGGTCTTCCAGTCCCAATGTTCAGTCCCAGCTTTTTATCCCATTACCTGTAGAGAGAAGCATAAATCCTCAGGAGTACACTCGCCTGTAGCCAGCATCCGCTGGGCTACATCCTATCATTAAAAAAAATACATAAAATAATGAATTGTGGTTTGGGGATGACAGGAGAGCAAAAATTAGTGCACTTGGAGGACCATGTTTCATGACAATTCATCTCGCCAGCGTATCTACAGCATGCTTTTGCCTTTTACTGGCATTAAGCTACAGAACAGGCGACACTGATTCAGGATTCAATAATTACAAATGCCTGCCCTGGCACCCCCAACCTCCCCCCCGACCCCTTACTCTGCTTAACTTTTCTCCATAAGGCTTATCATCTGGCTCTTTTTATTATCTGCCCCTTCTTTGTTTCTTCATCTTGTTGCCCCCCTCCCCCATTACAATGTAAGCTCCAAGTAGGCAGGGACTTTGATTTTGTTCCATCCTGTGTTGCTATTGCCTAGAAGAGTGCCTGGCACACAGAAGATGCTTAATACATATTTGCTAAATGAATTTATTCAGCATCTAACATGGCCCAGAACTATGCTACAGGCACGAAATACAATGGTGAGCAAAACAGATATGCCTCATATAAAAGCATGAAAGTGATCTCTCCTCACCTGTCCCACACTCACCTCAATGAAAGACAGGATCCCTGAGAATGAGACGTCCATCCCCTTTACAGTATATGGCAGCTCAACTAGTTTCTTGCCTCTGTGTGGGAGGGAGTATACGATGTCCTCAACCTGTAGTTAGTTGGCTGCTTACCCTCCAAAGCCCCTCCAAAGCCTTCTTAATGTACATACAGGGAAATCACTGAAGCCCCGCCGGGCAGCCTCCTCCCACCTCATGTCCCCTTACCGCTTTGCCATCTGTTCAATGTTGTAGCCCGGACTTGGGTCATTGGAAATCTAGCAGAAGGAAAAAGAGGATAGAGACAGATATCTAGGAGGCATAAGAAACTAATTTATGACCTTCTCCCTCCATTTCTAATTCATCCATATCTCATGTTTTCTCCAGCCCCAGTGGCTTACCTTTAGCACTCGAGCAAAACGATCCAGACAATTACCCACAGCAATATCGATGGTTTCCCCAAAGATGCGGTAACGATGTTCTGAATATGCAATCACCTAAGGGTGATGAGGATGTCCATGAAACCTCAAGTCTGTAAAGAGGAGTATTTGGCTTTGGGGAAGAGCATAAGAGAGGATCAACATGGCCACTGCAGCTTCCAATGACAAACAGAACAAAAGAACTTACCCAAACCTTGAATAGGTACTTTCTCATAGCTCTTATCTCAGAAGCCTATATGTACCCTGAGGATTCCTAGAGCAGATTTCTCATCTACAGAAGGTAGCCTAGGTCAGGCAGAAGCAATTCTCGTTTTGAATACATTTTTCTAGATTGGAGGTTCCTAATATATCCTTTAAATGCAGTCTTGACAATATGGATTAGGAACAGGCTTTCCTGCTTGGAAGCAGGGAACCAGAGTCCTTCTAGATTATCCCACCAGCACAGTGTTATTTGGAAACAAAACAAGAGGTAGAGTTGAAAAACTCAAAAATCCCATATTGGGTCACACTAATGACCCACCCAACTCAACACTGGCAATCAACTTATGTCCATTCTTCACATATGACTAGCTTCTAGCACAGAGAATATTTATCACCCACTCACACATATACTCCTGACAATGAGTGCTTCATTAAGACTAAAGAAGTCCTTCTCCCTTTTCGATGCTACTAAAGATTTCTTTCCAGGGGTGCCTGGGTGGCGCAGTCGGTTAAGCGTCCGACTTCAGCCAGGTCACGATCTCACGGTCCGTGAGTTCGAGCCCCGCGTCAGGCTCTGGGCTGATGGCTCAGAGCCTGGAGCCTGTTTCCGATTCTGTGTCTCCCTCTCTCTCTGCCCCTCGCCCGTTCATGCTCTGTCTCTCTCTGTCCCAAAAATAAATAAACGTTGGAAAAAAAAAAAAAAAGATTTCTTTCCATTCTGATGTAGATCATACTCTGCTGTTAAAAGGCTGGCCACAAAAGGGGAAGGAAAAAAAAATCCTGTCTTTCTACTTCTGTTATCTACTCCTCTCTACCCATCATCTTCCCTGTTTTTCCCACCTAACCAAGTTTCAAGAGGGAAGAGAAAAACTATCACTGCTCCTCTTCGTTAACTCTTGCAAGCCTCCATTGCTACTTTCCACACCCTGAGTCCCTAATTTTGTATGTCATCCTTCAGGCCCCAACCTGCTACTTGCCCTCTACCTGTAAAAGTTCCCATGTCATTTTCATGGGAATGTGTACTTCATTTTAAATGACTATTTCACAAAATGAAGTTTTAAGCCGTTCATAAGCTGGGGACAATGACCTTTTCTGACAATAACCCCATCAGGTGCTCTGTGGGACAGGAAGGCTAGAGTTCTCCAATCCCAACCTAAAAAGGTCTCATAAGGTACCCCAAACAACTCTGGTTTAGCTTATAAACTTAAAATACCTTCTACCGTATAAAATGTTTTAAAAATTACTTATATTTTCACTCTTAGAATAACAACTTCTATTTACTGCCAGTAACATAAAACAAAATATGAAATTACTGTAAAGAAACAAATTACATGGTATCCCTTGGTTTTAGTTGCTAAGGTACAGGGGGAAAAAAGCTTCAAAATAATAAAAGTAAAAACACTTTCATTATTTTGAAGACCTCGATCCTTACCCTTCTTTCGTTTTCTAAATGGAAATTTTTTATCTTTATAACCACGTATACGAAAGCCATCAAATGTTCTGATCATGCTGTCTAAACCTACAATGTTGTAAACTTTCTTGTGGGTTTTCTAGCATGTCTTAGCCCAGCTTTGTTCTTGAGTTGCTGCCATTCAGGTACAACAAGAAAGTTGCTGATACACTGCCTTAGAAATTATGAAGCAATGATGGAATACTCCAAATACCTGTGTATTTCCTCCACTGACATACAGCACGGTAGGGCTGGTGGCTCCAGTAATGAGGCGGCCCATCTCAATGTGGCCTATGCAGTGGTTCACGCCCAGCAAAGGCTTATTCCACAGTTGGGCCACAGTACGGGCCACAACAGCCACAGAAACCAATGGGGCACCCATGCCAGGGCCTAGGGGGATAGAAATGGGAGTTAGAATCCTACAGACACTGGGAAAAACCGAGCTGGGGAAAGTAAGGGATGTGAAAGGTGGGGTAGGAGTAGTGGTGTAGTGGTGGTAGCAGAGAGCAGCAGGCCATTCTGACCTAGCCAGGCTCCAGGTATGTTCTTTTATCGTCAGTCTCCCAGCTATACCTTTGGTGTAGGCAATGCAATCAATATCCTGGGAGGTTAATCCAGCCTCTGTTAGTGCCTCCTGTAGCAGGTCCAGGATAACAGCTCGGTGATGCCTGGCAGTATCACCTGGAAGGAATCCTAGGAGATGGACACAGGTCAGAGATCATAGGGTTTTTCTATAGCAAAGGTAGGAAGAAGTCATAAACGGGTGTTTTAGTTGTTGTGAAACAGAATGAAAGAAATCTCACTTAAAACAGAGTCAGGAGGCTGTAAGGGGAAGCCTTCACACCCCAACACTCATTCTCAATTGCAGACCCTGATGAGAAAAGAACATACCTTGCATTCCCAACAGGAAGAAGCCTATCATTTACCACCCCATCAAGAGGAAGAGATTTTCCAGCCAATGAAAAGCCACTACACTTGGATCTCTCAGTTTACTTCAATGGACTAATTTAAAATTAAGAGTCCCTCCCAACTACCCCCACTTCCCTATAAAAGATTAATCCTTTCATTTGGTCTCTAGATTTGCCTATGGTTTTGCCAAAGCTTCCCTGATCTGAATCACAATTCTCTACTATTCCTAAATGAGCCCATTTTACTGGTAAAACAACTGGTTGTTTTATTTTTAAGGTTTACACAGTGTAGGAAGAGTCTCTTTCACTCTCCTCAAGTATCTTATCTTCCAGGTTTTCAGATATACTCTTTCTGGCCTGTTCAGCTAGGCTGACCAGCTCTCAGAAATGCCTTTCTTCATACTCAACTCCTACTCAGCCTCAGGACTTAATTCAAGGGATAACTAACTCAAACCGTTTAGTGATCTTCTCTGTGACCCTACCAGCCCTGTGCACGATCATATCATTGTACTTTACACACTGTGTCGTATATCAATTATAGCATTATAATCATCTGTAGTTTTCCCCAATTTAACCATAAGCATCTCAAAGCATTGGCTATTTTATTTATCCTTACATTCCTGGTGCCAAAATGCCTAGAAGAGTGAGTGCTAAACACAGATATGTATTTTCTAACGAAAGAGCTGTCACAACATCATCTGTTCAGGGAGGCTTTTCAGGTATATACAAGTCAGTGGTCCTCTCCTACATATGCAGAAGTTTTAGGGGTGGGCAGACAAAATACAACACAGTAACAAATAACATACAAATAACATTCATTAAAAGTAATACGTCTAGGGGAGCCTGGGTGGCGCAGTCGGTTAAGCGTCCGACTTCAGCCAGGTCATGATCTCGCGGTCCGTGAGTTCGAGCCCCGCGTCAGGCTCTGGGCTGATGGCTCGGAGCCTGGAGCCTGTTTCCGATTCTGTGTCTCCCTCTCTCTCTGCCCCTCCCCCGTTCATGCTCTGTCTCTCTCTGTCCCAAAAATAAATAAAAAACGTTGAAAAAAAATTAAAAAAAAAAAGTAATACGTCTAACAATTTATTTCTTTCTCAAGACTCAATAATACAGGTATGACTATTCCCATTTTAAGAGTAAGGAACATAAATCCAAAAACAAATACTGAAAATGAATATTGCTGTTCCTAACACCCAAGCTGCAACTCTACACTCCTTCTCATTCTAGGAAGTTCTGACTGCATCTGCGTTACACTCACTGTTCATCTTACCATAAACTTTTGTTTATATGTCCGACTCCACAGAAGCTCAAAACATCTATTTTTTGCTTCCGGCTGACGATAAGCACATAAAAAACGCTCAACGAAAGCTAAACGAACCCAGAAGATCCAGGTCCAAGTGTCTGTCACTCTTCTATCAGCCTAGTGAGGTTAATCCTGCCCCACGAATCTCAGAGACTCGGATCAACAGCTCTGTGAGGGGACAACGCGCTCCACGCCCTACTTTGCTAGCGTTTGGGCGGATGGAAGGCGCTGCCGCGCGAGAAGGGTGCCGTGAACTGTCAATCCCGCACACACGCACCTGTGCCGGGAGGCGTGACGTAAGTCCGCCGCGGGTTCGCCAGCACTGCGCCATCCCGCACCACTCCCACGCCAATCTTGTTAGCGCTGCCTTCAAACCCCAGCACCGCCGGCATGGTCGAGCCTGGGAGAAAACGCCAGCAAGGCTAGCTACCACCGCAACCGTGTAGCCCTCAGCAGGCCGTGCTGGGCCGCGGATGCCGCAGCGCACGGGAAGACTACGTACCCAGGGGCCGGGTACCAGCGTGCACCAAGAGATGCCAAAGAACTCCCGCGGAGGGCGCCCCCGCGGCAGCCCCGCCCCCGTCATCACAGCGGCCCATCAAGGCCCCTTCAAGGACCTGTCCTCCTAACTGCCAGGGACGCTGAGCCGGCATCTGCTCCTTACATTCCTATCCATCTCTTTACTTCTCTCCCGTTGTCCAGCCAGCCTTCTCCACTGACTTTTTTCCCTCTCTTGCACAGCATTGGGATCTTCGGTCAGGGTGATAGAATGAATCCTGCATCTGGCACGCCGATAAACAGCCCAAGAAATGGAAGGCCGGGGCCTTCAGTCCCCTGGAGAGGTGCAGAAGGGGGTGGGGGGAGTAGGGCGAGCCTTCCCGTCACGTGGTCCCAGACAGACCAATCACGCGCATGCCCCCGCCTCAGGCTGCACATCTCAGATCACCTGACCACTCCAGATACCCACGTGGGGGCACGGCGTGCACGAATTCTTTGTGCTCGGGTAAGGAGGAGCCAGGCTGGGAGCCGAGCAGGTCAGATGCAGGGTTGCTCTTATTTTGCCCAGCAGTGGGGTTTCTTGATCGTCTGATCTGCAAGCTAAGTCGGGACCCTTGATTAAGGTCCTCGATCGGCTGGAGGGCAGATCTCGCGAGCACGGCACAAAGCATAATGAAATGATCTAGTTTGGTGGGTGAGGGGCTGAAGGGCCTAGGTTGCATGGAGGCGGGGAAAGAATTCAGAGATAGTTTGATTTGAAAGGCGGTACCTAGTTCGGGGGCGCCCGAGGAAGTCGTTTTTTCCCCAGCTTTAGCTGGTTTCACGACATCTCGTCTGCAGGTAACGCGGTAAAAATACTGCTTCGGTGGGCGACGTGGTACAGGTTCAGAAGGGCGTTCGCTACAGTGATGCCGAAGCGTGGGAAAAAGGGAGCTGTGGCAGAAGACGGGGAAGAGCCCAAGATTGGTAAGAGAATGAAATGAGGCCCTCTCCCTAGGGGCTGCCGTGAGGGGGTTTCTAACCCCGGTGAACAGGAAGTGCGGACCTGCTGACTGCGTTTTTGCAGGCTGAAGAAGTCGCAGCAACTGCAAGCTCACAATGGGGGGTCTGTAGTCCAATCCGGATCAGAGTTGGATACTGCCAACTTTATCATTGTATATTGCTTATTTTATAGAGCCAGAAGCCAAGAAGAGTAAGGTTGGAGCAAAGAAAAACGAAAAAGAGGCAGCAGGAGAGGGGCCGGTCCTGTATGAGGACCCCCCAGATCAGAAAACCTCGCCCAGTGGTAAATCGGCCACACTCAAGATCTGCTCCTGGAATGTGGATGGGCTTCGAGCCTGGATTAAAAAGAAAGGTTTAGATGTGAGTGGAATTCAAGGAGGGTTCCAGAAGAGACATTCTTCAGTATTGAATGATTTGGGGATTTAATCACCTTTCCCTAATCTGTAGGTTTTTTTCCCCTTGTCTAGTTTTTTTGTGCAAGAGTTAAAAGGAGGGGCTTCACCAACTCTTAAACTTTTTATTTCCAAATGTCTTTTTCAACTTATTTCCATTGTTTTAATGGCTTAATCCCTTCCCCTGCATGTTGCAAAAACCTTGTTACTGGACTTGCTCCATTTCATTTCCAGTTTATCCTCCGTTTAAATACTACTGCTTAGGGGTGCTTGGCTGGCTCAGTCCACCAGTTGGTGAACTTAAGCTGCTCCATGTGTGGCAGAGCATAGAGTTTACTTAAAATTAAATAATCACTGCTTAAAAGTCTTAGATGGCTATCCTCTGCCTGTGGAAGAAATATAATCTCTTCAGTGTTGCATGTAACACTCTTTTTACCTCTCAGTTGCCAGTTCTATAATTTAGAAGTGTTAAAATCTCGTGCGACTCTCTAAGCAGTGTATCTCTAGTACTTGGCACAGTCTTTAGTAAATGTTTGATTGATAATCAAACGTTGCTGTCTGAATTGATAGTATTTTTCTTACTTTTCATCTCGCTCACAGTGGGTAAAGGAAGAAGCCCCAGATATCCTGTGCCTCCAAGAGACCAAATGTTCAGAGAACAAACTACCAGCTGAACTTCAAGAGTTGCCTGGACTATCCCATCAATACTGGTCAGCTCCTTCAGACAAGGAAGGGTACAGTGGTGTGGGCCTGCTCTCCCGCCAGTGCCCACTCAAAGTCTCCTATGGCATTGGTGAGACCCTGTTAATTCCTAATCCCTGAGGTCTTTCAAACCAATTGCTAATTCCCGTTCCAGCTCCTAATGGGAGTTACTTTCTTTGCTTTCCCATTCTGTATACTTTTTTATGCTGATCTTGTTTCATTGTTTCTGTAGGTGAGGAGGAACACGATCAGGAAGGCCGGGTGATTGTGGCTGAATTTGACTCATTTGTGCTGGTAACAGCCTATGTACCTAACGCAGGCCGAGGTCTGGTCCGCTTGGAGTACCGGCAGCGCTGGGATGAGGCCTTCCGCAAGTTCCTAAAGGGCTTGGCTTCCCGCAAGCCCCTTGTGCTCTGTGGGGACCTCAATGTGGCCCATGAAGAAATTGACCTTCGCAACCCCAAGGGAAACAAAAAGAATGCTGGCTTCACTCCACAAGAGCGTCAAGGCTTTGGGGAATTACTAGAGGCTGTGCCTCTGGCTGACAGCTTCCGGCACCTCTACCCCAACACGGCCTATGCATATACCTTTTGGACCTACATGATGAATGCTCGATCCAAAAATGTTGGTTGGCGCCTTGATTACTTTTTGTTGTCACACTCTCTGTTACCCGCGTTGTGTGACAGCAAGATCCGTTCCAAGGCCCTGGGCAGTGACCACTGTCCCATCACCCTGTACCTAGCACTGTGACACCTCCCTTAAATTACTTTAAGCTGGGGAAATAAGCCCCCCAAGCTAGCTTTAAAACTTAACCTCCCCAAACTTCTTTAAAAACTGCTCTCTAAAGAAATCTGCACTGTTACTTCCCTTCTAAAAATACGAGTCCTTCAACCAGGCTCCTAGTGACACTTAGGTTTCCTTTAAACCCCAATTTTTTTGTGCTTTTTTTTTTTTTACATTAAACAAAAGCTACTGATGACTTTCTCTGAACTGTCCACATGAAAATAAAGAGCCATAGTTTCAGCCTTGCTGTCTTTGTATTCTACCCCTTTGTGGGGCTACAAATTCTCCTTATCTTTTCATATATAAAGATAAACAACTTGGAAAAGGATAGTCATGACCTTATTTATTTACAAGCACAGGATGAATCCCTAGCTTCCCCCAAGACAGAGCAACCTTATCCAGCTCAGTTAAATACTGCAACTGGGCGGTAAGGTTGGAAGGAGGAGTTAAGGGAAATTCAGGACTAGGGGAACATACCCCACATTAAATAGTTATATACACATCAGTTCCTGTGGTCTGTACAGAGCAGCGGCTGACCCCATCCCCACCCCCCGGGACACAGAATGGGGGGACAGGAGACTGAGGGGACAGGCCAGCGCCAGCCCCTGGTGAAGTGCAATAGCAGCAGCAAGGTCCTAATGGTGCACAAAAGGGAGGGAACCCCCAGGGCTACCCACCCCCACCCTGCCCTGGAATGTTTAAGGGACAGGAATGGCTCTCAGGGAGTATATAGGAAGGACAAGGCTAGAACCCTCTTTTAGGACCCAGGTTTAGGGGCAACATTTTGCCTATTTCACCCTAAACACAGCAGCCCTTGGAGGAAAGCAGATGGCCAGCAGTGGTCTTATCTACCCCTCCAAACCTAAGTGAGGGTGTGGTTCCTTCCTACCTCTCCCCAGGGAAAGGGAAGGCAGCTGCTTGGCTCCCCTTACAGAAGCCAAGGGAGCCTTTTACCACGGTTCCCTTTGTAGTGTCACTGTCCCCACCAGGAAGGGGCCAGGCACAGTCTGTGGGTCGTTGTGGAGCTCAGGAGAAGTTCTGGACAGGGTGGCTGACCTTCATACAAGCCCAGTAGAGGGCCCGGCCCAAACACAGCACAGCCAACAGGATGACAAATGCCCAGGCTGCGTAGATGCCTCCATATCGCCGAGCGTGCTTCCATGTCCCAAACTGATGAAGAAGAAGGAAGATGGGGTTACTGTTGATCTCTCACCACTTTCTAAAAGCCCTAGTAACAGCAACACAGAATGGAAGCTTCAGTGCTTGGTTGCCTAACCACGTGTATCCACCTTCAGGGACCTTCTTAAAGGCCCAATTGTGCTCTCTTCCCCTAGGCAGGTACATAACTTGTACAATCCCAGACATCTGTCAGTGTTTCTTAGTGTTGGACAAGGGAGCCAATTCTAACAGCAACTCTTAATTTAAGCCACTTCTTCATTGCCCTGTCTTTTGCATAAAGAAGATGGCTGTTTTTCACTCCCATAATAACAATGGAGATTGTTTATCAGTTACCTTCAACTTCAGCTCATGTGTACATTAAAACAAGGCAAAACAAACAAAAACCCCTCGGTTTCTTTCACTTTTTTTAGGTTAGCCATTTCCCAAATTGTAGGCTATGGAGATGAGGCTGAAGAACGAAGGGCCGGATCAAGGTTACTCACGGCAAGGCCAGTGGCAGTGACTGCCAAGAGTAAGCCAAGCAAGAAACAGCAGATACATCTCTTTCGTGGATATCTGCGCCCAATAGATGACCTGTGGGGAGGCAAACAAATTGATGCTTGCAATGGCCCTGCAGGTTTTACTGTACATGATACAAAATTACCAGTTCAACAATGCCACTCTCTAGTCACTTACACTTTCCTGCAGTGAGGGCAACGGGCCAAGGTTCGGTCTGTGAACTCTGTCCACTATGGAGAACAAAAAAGGGAGAACCTAATTAATAGAAGCAGGGTCATGTCCAGTGAAGGCTCTGGGGCAGGGGAGGGTGGGAAAAGGAACAGAAGGGAAATTAAAACAGACCTTCTCAGTATTCATTATCATAACTCAGAAATATATTCATGATTACTTCTGTTTTTCCCGCTTCCTCCCAAGGCTTCCCAATGCTCCTCCTCACCAGGAAAGTATTCTTGCAATGTCCACAGATGACCCTGACACCTACAGGCTGTGGTTCTGGACTCAGAGGTCCTGGATGCACAGGCCCCAGG